AAGGCCAAGGGGGGTTTCATCCCCAATTTTTATTAAAGGGGGAGGGTGGTTTAGTAATTAGGTAAAAAAGGGCTAAGAGACACAAACAAATTTTCCTTATGATTTTTTAAAAGTATAATTTAAGAATCAAAGTATAACAGAAGAAAAAACTTACCAAAAGGCGAATTAATAAATAAACAATGAGGATTGAAAGTTTGTAAAACGCGCCTTAAGTCTTCTTCAGGCCATTATTTCGGATGTAAGTGGTTGGGGCACCCTATCCCATAGTGGACGATCATGGAGGTAGTAAGTTTATCTAGTTTTAGGGGGTCAATAAAAATTATTTCGCCTATGATATGCAGCCGTGGCGGCATATTCGTTATTGTCCAAATAATATTTAGTTTGAAGGCTAAGGAGCTCTTGCATCCCTAGGCTGTACCACACAATAGCCGCAAGTTCTTCTCGATCAACGATCTGCAATCGGGATTTTTGGCCAAAGGGGGGAAAATTCGTAATCTTTTTTTGTCGGTGGATGGGATCTGCTTTGTTTTAAACCAAAGTTTGTTTCATCTTATTCCATATCACTCGGTGATTTTTCGACTAATTGAACTACAAATGTTGAAGAAGACTGGTCATGGCCTTGAGAATTCGCTGCGGCCTGCGGTCTTTTAATCCAAACAATCAACCAATACACCAGAAATTTTTTTTTCATTTGCGTTACCAATGAAGTTACCTTGTATCGGTTTTTTCCAACGGCTATGTCAAGAGGCTAGGCGGGACTCAAATATTTTCATTTGTATGTCTCCTCGTGCTGGGGGTCCTCGAGAAGGGGGGAAAATATTAAGAGAGGGAAAGGAAAGGGGGGAATGTAAGGGGCTTGATTAACTTTTTTCTTTGTTTGAATGCAAATCATATAAAAAAAAATATAGCCAAATTTTTGGTGAAGTCGTGAATTAACAAAACTGAGGGCAAGTTACTCATTTTGTGAATTTTTTTTGTTCTTTTACTTAATTAGGAGATTATAATCACATAAATATACTTGGTATTATTTAATAGGAACAAAATCTATTTTTGTTTGCTTAAAGATAATTATGATACATAAACAAACAAAGTAATTTTCCAAATCTACACCAAGTAACTAAATTAAAACAATAAGTAAAAATTATTAAGCTCCACAAACAATTGGTTTTGCTTCTTGAGTCTATTGTGGAGGACATTCTCAACATTTTCCTTCTGTTAGTATATTTGTCAGCACTCAACTGCGAACCCTTCTCATATCTTTTATGAAGCATATCAAAGACTCACCTATGTTGATGCGGACTCGCAGAGTGCCTTCCGGCGCTCTAATTTCTCGCTTAAGTTGATTTATATGTGTAAAGATGAGAAAGAAACATTTATACAATATGTCTATTCACACTAACCAAAATTTTTTCAAACTAATTAGAAAGGAAAAGAGGCCATCCGTTTAGGCGGCGAATAAAGTTATCTATCATCACAAAATTGATAAATCTCCTCTTCGCGACAGTATTTGTCATTCATTCCTTTGAAAATGGGGATGCGCGGGGGCTAGAACAATTTGGGGAGAGGATGGTGGATGGCGGGGAAGCGCCCATCCAAATCAAACCTACAACAGGACCAAAAGACCCCTCATAACCACATTAAGAGATACACATACATTATCAAAAACAACTACCCTAACTTAAATAATTATGAATGCGAAACCCAACAAACATTTTCTCTTTTGCGTGACCATTTAAAATATTTGCATGGTTTTTCACCATGTTATAAAATTTTTCCCCTTAAAGACTTGATGGTACTGTGGGGTTCTCGTAGGGTGCATCACAACAAACCCAAAACAATCTCTCCACTTTTCAATCTCCATCCATACCTTGCGAAATTACTAATATTTTTCAAAAATGGGATCGGTCTTCTTCTGGGGTGGTTAGAAGTTTACATGACAGGCAAAATGGCATTAGTTCTTCATTTTTATTTTTTCAAGAGTGGGCTATTTTGGGAATTATGTCATTGTGTATATCATGAGGCGGGGGAGATTTTGGGGT